AAAATTTTTTGTTTGTGCTACTTTGGCTTTGAAGATATTGATGAAAAGGTAAAGGTCAAAAGGTCAACCAGCCCCCCCACCTACTTCAAATCAGACAAAATTGGTGTCAAACGTTTGTGCTGCGTTTGTGCTGGTTTGTGCAGCAAAAATTTTTGTTTGTGCAGCTATCATTTTAAAGATATAAAGAAATGTTTTTAGAGGTCATCAAAGGTCAACCAGCCCCCCCACCTTCTTCGAATCAGACAAAATAGGTGTCAATCAACTTGGCTGCGTTTGTGCAGGTTTGTGCAGCAAAAATTTTCGTTTGTGCTGCTTTGGCTTTGAAGATATTAATAAAAGGTTAAAGGTCAAAAGGTCATCCAGCCCCCCCACCTACTTCGTATCAGACAAAATAGGTGTCAATCAACTCGGCTACGTTTGTGCTGGTTTGTGCAACAAAAATTTTCGTTTGTGCTGCTTTTGCTTTGAAGATATCCATTATAGTTTAAATTTTTTGCTAGTTTTGCTTTAAAAGGTCAATGAACATCTGTTCATGCTGAAACTGTCAATTTCATTTAAATTGCCGTGTAAGTTGCTAACACATGAACATAAAGAATTTACTTTTAACATGGACGAAATTCAATTCAAATTAGGTCTCATCTAAAATGAATAGTTTGGTACATCACCTCCCAAAACAATCTCGGTGACCTGTATCTTAGCTTCTCATCACTAGAGGGTGCTATTAGACAAACTGTACTTTTGAAATACAAAAATAAGAACAGAACATGTGCTTAGCATGTACTCAGCCTTTTTGAGGTCAATGTTAATGTTATTATCGACAGCAATCATCAGCACTTCTTTTCAATACTTCATAGCAGTGCATCAAGGTAAGTTTGTCCACTTGGGCCTGCAGTATGTAAGATTCATAGCAAAAGCAACACAAACAAAAATTTTTGTTGCACAAACCAGCACAAATGCAGCCGAGTTGATTGACACCTATTTTGTCTGATACGAAGGTGGGGGGGCTGGCTGACCTTTGATGATCTCTAGACACTTTTCTTTTAATAACTTTAAAATGATAGCTGTACAAACAAACATTTTTGCTGAACAAATGTAGTCAAGTCTATTAACGCCCATTTTACCTGATTCGAAGAAGTTAGGGGAGCTGGTTGACCTTTGATGACCTTATTATTTATATAACTCATAATATTTTATAGTTCTATAATTTGTAATAGCAGTATAAATGAAAAAAAATCCTGCACAAACCTGCAAAAACATAGCACAGTTGGTTGACACCAAATTTATTTATGTTTCCAAATGTGAGTAGGGCCAGGGGAGTGGTTGACCTCTGATGACCCCTGGAGAATATTTTTCTTAATATCTTCAGAATGATACCAGCACAAACAAAAATGTTTGCTGCACAAACCAGCACACAAACGTAGCCGAGTTGATTGACACCTATTTCGTCTGATTCGAAGTAGGTGGGGGGCTGGATGACCTTATGACCTTTAACCTTTTATTAATATCTTCAAAGCCAAAGCAGCACAAACGAAAATTTTTGCTGCACAAACCTGCACAAACGCAGCCAAGTTGATTGACACCTATTTTGTCTGATTCGAAGAAGGTGGGGGGGCTGGTTGACCTTTGATGACCTCTAAAAACATTTCTTTATATCTTTAAAATGATAGCTGCACAAACAAAAATTTTTGCTGCACAAACCAGCACAAACGCAGCACAAACGTTTGACACCAATTTTGTCTGATTTGAAGTAGGTGGGGGGGCTGGTTGACCTTTTGACCTTTACCTTTTCATCAATATCTTCAAGCCAATGTAGCACAAACAAAAAATTTTGCTGCACAAACGTGCACAAACGCAGCCGAGTTGATTGACACCTATTTTGTCTGATTTGAAGAAGGTGGGGGGGCTGGTTGACCTTTGATGACCTCTAAAAACATTTCGTTATATCTTTCAAATGATAGCAGCACAAACGAAAATTTTTGCTGCACAAACCAGCACAAACGCAGCACAAACGTTTGACACCATTTTTGTCTGATTTGAAGAAGGTGGGGGGGCCAACTTCACTCAGGTACTTCACCTCATCCATCCTCAGCTCATCTCAACAGGCCACAATGTTTGTCTGTTCAATGATGTATAGTTGTGGAGTTTGTAGGAGCTGCCGTTTATGATTCATTAGTTTTCCCTGTTTTTCTTAGTAATGCAGTTTAGTTTTTGTCATTTGGTTTCTTTACTTTAATTAGGTAAATTGGTTAATATTCAGGTAGTTTCCTTTAGTTTGTTGTTTTCGGCATTTGCTCACTCTGAAGCCATATGCTCCACAGGTTGTAACATCTCAAACCAAAGATACATCTTTTTAAAATAAATAACATTATAAAATGTTCAACTTCGTGTGTTGGTTGCTTGAGATCTGAAGAGGACGGATCTGTCGTGTTATGACCTGGCCACCCCTTGACATAATGTTATTTAAATACTTTTATGACTTGACAGTTATTTTAGTTTGAAATTAGTAAAATTTTATTTGCGGCCTTGAATAACAGTTTTCTGTTTCAGAGAGAAAAACAACAGAAGCAAAATGTATTATTTCAAATAAAAGCTAACAGAACTTTTTTCTATGGGCTTTTAATGTGAAAGTAGTCACCGGAAGTGAATGTGGTTTGTAAACGCTCTAACTTTATCAAGTAGCTGTAGTTACCATCTGGGTCCACGAGAGGGCAGAAACCGCCCTGCTCTGACATTAAATGTTCAGTTCCCGGCTCTGCAGCAAAAATATCACCATTATTCTGACTGTTTGAAGGATAATTTAATTTTTCATAAATATTTTCCTACCTTCAGACCGGAAGTTCAGCATCTTAGCGACAAAGATTTGTAGAGTTGTAGAGCTTTTGATTCAGCTCCTCTGAAGCTGCTGCTGGAGTCTGTTAGCATCGCTAGCTCCGCTCAGAGTCTGCGGCCTGTTTTCAACTGTTTTGGAGCTTCTAGTTCACACTGACAGATAAAACACCGATTTCATGTTAAAATAAGATTCAAGAAATAACACAGCAGAAGCACCAAGAGAGCAACAAGGGCTTCTTTAGCCAAGAGCGGGAAACTAGCTAACCGCTAACTTAGCCTTCTGCCCCCTAGTGGACACATTCTGTAACTACAAAAAGAGTAAAGCTGGAAGCTGATATGTGAATAGAACTTCCTTTGCTTTCTTTCAAAGTAAAGCACAAGGAACCAAATTCTCCCGTAATTACATTTTAGCTTGTCAGTTTATTAATCTATCAGAAAGCATAAGTGCATAATTTTCTTAGGATATGATATAAACTATATAATTGGGCCCTGAAAGCAAATAATCGTAATTATTTTGTTTTCCAGAAAAAAATAAATATTTTCTGTATGTAAATAACACATATATAATAAATCAGCTGTTAGTCCAAAAGACAGGCAATAATATTTATCATGATAATAAAATAAACGTGATCAACTTAATAGAAGTCAGAAATCAGCAGCAGCTCAACAGACTCACCTGTATTTTCAGAGCGGGGTATTTCCGCCCTCTGGTGGCCATAGTGAGAACTACAGCCCTGATAATGCTTCATCATTATTCACTTCTCCACTTTATAGAGGGAAACACTAACAATCTTCCTCAGTCATATCCACCGACTCAAATATTATTTTGACATATTTTAAACCACTGTTCGATGTTATATTTGTAATAAAGAGTTTTAAATAAAAGATAGCCGCTGTGTTAAACTGTTCAAATGCAAAAAACCCCCAACAAAAACATTATGAAAAACTTTATTAGCTCATCAGTAACACTGAGGAACCCACGTTACATTAAAATAAATATGAACCAGTCACCACGTCATCCCATGAATTCTGAATAAATCAGCACAACCAGAGTAAGAGCCTGACGTGACATATTGAGTCCCCATTTCCCCTGATGTTCTCTAGATTAACTGGAAACCGAAATGTAAAAAGTTCACCACCAAAAACAAACTGAGAAATATTAAAGCAGTGAGAATCAGTGACTATGATGCAAACTGCGAGTCCCAGTCCCTTTCTTTCTGTTCTGTTCTCTGTTTGCATACAGAGAGGCGATGCTGAAGAAAGCAGGGAAAGTTGAGCCAAAAGGTAGGAAGAGTGTAATAAAACAGCGGATAACGGCTGCCGTTCCCAGTGTACACAGTCAAACCTGATCTGCCAGTTGGATCTTAAAGCCTGTGAACGTCTTTCAGAAATGTAGAGCAACTCATCGGCCTGGCTCCTAATTTGTGGATCGTTCCCTAGATGGTCTCTTTCCCTCTCGGTCCGACAAGCTTTAACTTGAGGCGGCTTAACAGGACTACTAACTTTAAAACTAAGTTACGAGCGTAGTGGGAAGCCCTCTTGGGCTCTGGTCGTATAGCGGTGCAACAGTGGAGCCAGGTCAGGAAGTCATAGACTAACAGGAAACTGATCTACTGAATAAAGGCCTCTTGCTTATTTATAAATTTAGATTTGTCATTTGAAAGAACAATGGTCGGAAAAAGCCTCTGTTACTCACCAGGGTAAAATTACTCATTGCTGTTTTATAATTCTGCACACATGATATTGTACTTTAGTAAAATCACAGTTTCACCACTTTTAAGAATCAGCAGGATTCCAGCCCTGCACCTGTAATCAAATATGCATGATTCACCAGTGACCACCAGTGGAAAACACTATTAACAGTCATCCCATCGAGTTCAAACTGATGTTAGGCCAGTCAGAGTTCAGTTTTTGGTCACTTTAGTGTTTCAGATTGTCTATTGTTGAAATTTCATGTCTTGTTTTAGTTCAGGAAACTGTTGCTCTGAAAATATCTCTACCGATGTAGAGGCCTTCAGTGACAATGGCACAACAAATATAAACATGTTTTCCTGTCACAATCCTTTAATAATGAACCTTATGACCTCTGTCCACTTTCTGCACGACAGTAAAGCATAGACCAGGCCATTAAAATGGAGGCCCCTGATTGGTCCCGCTCTCCCACCTTTCAGATGCAGAGCTGTTGTGCCTCTTCCACACAGAAGAGACTCGAACCCGCGCATCAAGTGGAAGAAGAAGACAAAAGATGTCTCCTTCGTCTACTTTGAAGGAAGCTTCAGAGGTTCGTTTTAATCCCAGCTGCGTCCCACTCATACATCAGATAAGCTGATTTAATCATCAACTACTGATGAAGGTCAGTGGTGTGGTGGAAGTTTAACCTTCCATCTTTAAGTCTGAATTGTAATGAACACAAGCTCTCAGCAGGCAGATCCTGTTAATGATTGTCTTTGACCTATTGCCACCCTCCTCCACTTCATTAGCCAGTTGTGGCTCTTGCTTCATTAAGAAGCATGTTTATTTGAGCTTCAGCTCTGAATGCTAACACTATGAAACTGGCAAGTTAAGTTGGTATCATTGATGCAAATCCACTCATCATACCCAACTTTTCTGCAAATTTGACCAAATCCTCCGTTCTGTTCTGTTTCAGAACCTCTACAACTGAGAAAACATCCATTCAGTTCAATATCACTTCACTTGTTTTGACTTAAAACCAGCTCTGAGTAAAGTTGACTGCAGTTGAATTTGCTACTATGGGGAAAAAAATTAAAAATTGCAAAGTCTTTCTTCTGCAATGTTCTCAGCTTTTCAAGACCTTCCAACATTCCTCCCAGGTCCCTTCGAAGGCCGAGCAACCATGGTCGGGACGACGATGACCTGCACAGAGTGACCCTGCACAGAGTGATCCAGCAGAGAGTGACCGTGCACAGAGTGACCCAGCAGAGAGTGACCCTGCACAGAGTGACCCAGGAGGACGCCAGAGAGCACCGCTGCGAGATCAGCGCGTCCCTGGACACGGTCAGCCTGGGCGAGACCAATGTGACCCTCAACGTCTTGGGTAAGGAACAAACATAACTGATTTTTTTTTTTTTTTGGACAAACCAAAGTTCTGACTCACCCTTTCTTACTTTGTCACCCAGTGCCACTGCAAACTCCCACATGTGAAGTCCCTGCCTTGGTGGTGACGGGCTCGGCGGTCCAGCTGCGCTGTCGGGACCAGCAGAGCGTCCCGCCCGCCGCGCACTCCTGGTTCAAGGACAACAAGTCAACCAGCAAGCCTCGTCACGCCCAACGCGACCCATCTAATCAACTCCCACACGGGAATACTGGTGAGGCTGCATGCAGATGAGGGGAGAAACAGAAGGCGGCTCGAGCGTTTATCTTACTAAACTGAGGTTAAAGACAGTTTATCATATGCAGGATTTTAAATGTTTTCAAATTCAGACCATCCATATAAAACCTCTTTTTCATCATCTCAAACTGAGGCCAGGTTTATTTGTATAACACACAGGAGACAGCTGGAAGTGCTTTACATCATTAAAACCAGGCTAAGCAGATGAGTTTTCACTCAGGGTTTCATCTTCTGACAGTTTGTTCCAGGTTAGCAGTGAGTAGAAGCTGAATGCTGCTTATCAGCATGCAGAACAGACCACAACCTGGGTGGTCTGGAAGGTTGACGCAACAAGTCCTTAATGTATTTCAGTGGTAAGAGTATTTGAAAGTGTTCTACCTTAGAACCGCTCCATGGTTCTGGTTTTAGTGAGAATGTGAGCGCCAGCATTCTGAACCAGCCGCTTTACTTTGTTTTACTACTTTTGGTCTAAAATATGCTAGAAAAACGTGATTCAAACATGACTTTGTGTAAAATCCATTGTAACATTTCGTTTTGCCAGGTGGTTAATTTTCTGGATTCCCAGTTGAAGTTTTGCTTTTCCGCAGGAGTTCAAAGCAGACATCGCTACAGCTGCCTGGCGTCCAACGGCTCACCCAAAATGTACGAGGCCGAGCACATGACCAGAGCTAAGGCTGTTCTGTTTCCCCGTCTGAAAGTCCCGTCTCTGGTTCCGTAGAGGACGTGAACATTGGTCTTTTTGTTTTCCCGTGGCTGCGTCTCATCTGGAAGGACACAGAGGGAAGAAAATCTCAAACTGACAACGACTTACCAGTTAGTTTTCATGGAAAACCTGCAGAGATAATTGACTTTCCCTGCAAAAATGTTGGGCCTTCCTGTTCTTATCAGCTCCATTTTGGTCACTGGACTCAAACAAAACCCCTCAGACGTTTCACCTTGACAAATAAACACATTTTGTTCAGCATAAAGAAAAGGATCAAATCTTACAAGTCATGCAGACTGACATAAAATGGAGCAGGACGTCTTCCTGGAAGCAGACTAAAAGGAACAACATAAAATCATATATCCATAATACTTCAATGTTTCAATGTGACTGCTGCTTCACCAGAACACATGTTTAAGTTCAGAAATGGGGATAATCTCCCTTCAATTTCTGCAGGATTAAAAACATTTCCACCAAAAATCTACAGAAAATTTGTCTCTCTTTCCTCTCGTGCGTAAATATGTTTACAGAAACAGAATTCAACCCCCCAAAAAATTTCAAAACATGAAAGGATGACTTTTATCAACACGATTCCTCTTGGCTGTCATGTATTTTAAAATATTGATAACTGTCCTTCCAAATCAGTGGATCCTGGACACAGAAGATGGAGCCGGTGCTGAGAAAGACGTACTCAGAAATGATTCACTGAGTCTGAACTGCTCATTATTGTTGTAGAAGACGTCAACTTCCGTCCATGAATATCAGATATAGATTAAAATATTAACGCCCCCAAACCTAGTTATTATATTCAAAACAGCTTGAAAGAAAAATGTAACTCTGAGGCAAAGAATCCTTGATCTACAAGATCTCTGAGAGGAAAAAGGATCCATGCGATGATATGTTTCCTCACATCTCACAAATTCTGTAAAGCAAATAAAAATCTCTTATTCACTATCTAATTTATTAATTTGCATCTAATTAAGTAATTGAATGAAATAATCATCTCAGTCCTGCACTCTATGAAGTCTCATGAGTTTTTAGAAATATTAATTATTTGCTACAATTTATAAAGAGTTTATTAAAGAAATGCTATTATTATATTTCAGGCAACAAAGTGTTTATTGTTCAAAAAAGAAATGAATTAGTTTGTAAATGTTACTCAGTGTTTTAGTTTCTGTTGCAAAGGGATAAAAGTTCAACTTTTATTTCTCTGCAAATTTGAGTTAATAGAGTTGTTGGATAAATTGTGATGTTATTAATCAAATATTTGTTATTCTCATGTATCTTTATAATGTATCTTTTCTTATTAATGTTATATAATAAAAGCATATAACATTAATCATATGCTTTTATTGTTTAATTTCATCTTAGAATTAAGAATGTTTCTGTATTGTTGAATTGATTCCTTCCTCAGAAAGCCTCACTGAAGGAAAGCAGTGACAACAGGTTACTGCAGGGTTATCTCTCAGCGTGAACCAAGGCCTCTAGAAAACTGACTGTGAAGATGTACAACTTGCTCTGTTTAACCCTGTGTCTGGAATGAGAGTATAAAGTTCAAGATACCTTGTGCTTTAGTTAGTGATTGTCTTTGGCGCTGTAGTCATGTGATGAAGTGTTTTCCCCTCCCTTTAGAGTTACAGTGTCCTTTGTGATTAGGGATCCTGAAAACAATAAAAATAGAGAAGCAGACAAATGTGGTTTCAGAGCAGCAGGAGATTGTGACTGAAAGCACATCTCTGTCTGTTCTCCTCACGAGTAAGAAAGAATCTAAATCTCTTGTCTTTCCTGTGTTTTGTTGAATCTGTATTTAATAGGTGTTAAACCTGACAAGAGTGAAACAAAACTAGAATAAAGATAGAAAACATTCAGTATTTCTGTTTTTTGCTGAAGCAGTTATGAAACAGAGCCGCTTTTTTCATGGATTCAACAGAAAACCAACAAAACAAACTATTTTTATTTTTGATGGTGGATTATGAGCGCTCACTGTCCTCTGGTGGTGAAATATTGCAACTACAGATATTCATATTCATGGTAATTTCTCAACCAGATCATTTGTTTAACTTAATTTGTTCTCATTTTCACTTTTATCAGTTCACATAAAATCAACTTAAATTAAAGTTTCTACTGCAAGGTTAATAAATGGAAAATAAAATAAAACTTACTTCAGAAAAATCCTCCCAAAAAGATTAACTATTGTTAATTTTTAGAATCAAGGCCTGAAAAATTTAAACAATGAAAATGTGCTTATGATAAAATCCAACCTGCTGAGATCAGAGCATTGAGCAGGACGAAAATATCTAATGGAGAAAAAATAAACATAAAAAGTTAAATTTTAAAACATTACCAGTTACTACTTAGTAAATTGTATGACTTTTATGAATGAATCGTATGAAATTGTATGAATGAATTTGTGAATAAATTTATAACACATACAATGATATGATGTTGCTGCAGTTAATTTTATTTCAATACCTTTATCTGTTTGAAATGACTATAGAGGAATAGGAAAATTAAATGTTGGTGGTTGAAAACTTCAGCAGAATTTAATTTGATGCTTTTGATTAAACATTTCAGGGAGAAAAAAAGGAAAACTAAAACGCATTATTTATTATGAACGCTAACCCAGAATATTAACTCCTTTAAGCTCTCAATGTGAAAGAACGTACCGGAAGTGAATGTGGTATGTATAATGTGCAATAGAAATTTCGTTGAATCCTGTTCAATGACAATAAATGCTATTCTATTCTATATTGTCTAACTTTATATAGTAGCTACAGTTACCATCTCGGTCCACTAGAGGGCAATAACCGCCCTGCTCTGAGAGACGTTCAGTTTGTTTGTTGTGCATCAATCTACTGAATGTTTCCAGGATGATTTAATCGATCATAAATATTCTCCTGGCCTCAAACCACAAGCTCAGCGTCTAAACCAGAATTGGAGAGCTTCGTTTCAGCTCTTATGGAGCCAAAGCTCCTCTGAAGCTGCTGCTAGAGTCTGTTAGCATCGCGATAGCCGCTAATAGTCTCTGCGGGCTGTTTTCAACTCTGTGCAGCTCCTTCTTCATACTGACCGATAAAACACTGATTGCATGTTAAAGTAGGCAGAACAGTTATGATTAACATTCAATTATTAATGTTAATAGTAATATGTATCATGAAAAACGTGATCAACTTCACAGAAGTGAGAGACCAGCTGCAGCTCAAAAACTCACCTGTATATTCAGAGCGGGGTATTTCCGCCGTCTGGTGGCCATAGTGGGAACTACAGCCGTAATAATGCTGCGTTATTTACATTTAATATCCAATTTATATAGAGAAAAATTAACGATCTTCTCACCCAGAAGATAAGTAATAAAATAATCAAAAATAATATTAAAGCCATTTAAAGAGTTTTAAATCATAAAAGATAGCTGCTGTGTTAAAACTCTGTACAGTTTTTTTTCAGTGACTCTTATTTGCTGACTTGATAAAAGTGAACATTAAAACAGAAACAAAACATCTGACTGAAAAATTTATTTGAAAAATGTCTGTAGTTACGAAAGCTCACCACCAGAGGGCAGTAAGAATTCACAACCATCATAAAACTGATCAACTTTATACATTTCACAAAACTGTTTCTAAAAACTAGTTATATTGACTTAATTCTGTAGACAGTTTATCTGCAGAATTAAGTTAGGATTCGTATTTTATGATTAAAATTATTCGAAACGCAGGGTAAATAACAACTACTTAGAAATAATAATCATATTAGAGAAATGTACTTATAAAACATTTTTTATTCAGTTAAAATCCTTACAAAATATTAACTGTGAGTAATTTTGAGAGTCAAAGTCTGGAAAGTCTTTTGTTAGTCATGAAAGTCAACCAGCTGAGATTAGAGCAGAATAAAACCATCTAATGGAAAATAATAATATTAAAATTAAAAACTCAAAGAAGCTTTTAAAAATGTTTAAGCATTATAGTAAACAGATTATTTACATTTTTAGTTTTGTTTTTGCCAGTTTGTCAGTGTACTGCCCTCTTGTGGTGACACAATGTAACTACATACTAAAATCATTTAGACCAGCTTAATTTAAAGTTCTATGATAATAAAACTTTGATCGATTATTAGTGAACTGAAGGTCAGTCGCTGCTGTTCAGAATCAGAGTTTAGATCCGAACTTCTGACAATCAGCTTCTATGTAAAACAAGATGCTGCTAGTCTGTTAGCATCGTTAGCTCCGCTCAGAGTCTCTGCGGGACGTTTTCAACTCTATGGAGCTGCTTCTAGTTCACACTGACAGAGAAAACATTGAAATGAACCCAGGAGAAGAATTTGCCTTCATTTATATCATTGGGAATCAGTTATCCCGCTGGTTTGAAGCTGGAAACCAGTTAGCTTCCGCGCTAAAGACTCGCATCATTCCCAGCAGCAAGTCTTTCTTTATTGGTTACCATTGCGACCAGGAACCTCAGCAGTGAGTTCAGTCCCTCTGGTGGCTAAACGTGGCAATTACAACAACAATAAAGTTGGAAAATTTACAAATTCGTTTCCTGTGAGATCTTTCAAAATAAAAAACCGGGAAGTAAAATAACTACTGTGATAGTTTGAATCAGCATCACTAAGAAATTTGGAGGAAACATAATATTTATTAATGAAACGATTCTCATGGATTTTATTTAAACATCTTCAGTCTAAATAATGCAAAAAAAGCTGCTGCGTAAAATTAGAAGCTTAAAAATTCTCAGATCAACTAAAATGTATGTTTCTGATTTCATTAAAAGAAACTGTCAAACAAAATTTACAAACTTAAAATATATTTGGATTCATTGTTAATTTGAATACAAAAAGCTGAACAGCATGGAGGATTAAAATAAAGATGTAGTTACAATATTTGTACAAAATAAAATGTATAAAACCCCCCACCAAAAACATTATGAAAAACTTTATTAACTCATCATTAAACACAGAGGAACCCACGTTACATTAAAATAAATATGAACAGAATAATATGAACCAGTCACCACGTTATCCCA